GCATGATTTGTATGTGATATTTGGCATTTAAACACCACTCGTGATATTTCAAACTTGTCTCAAATTTCACTCGCCTAACGGCTCGTGAAATTACGTGTATCACTCGTGGTATTTATGCCAAATATAACTAAAAATCATACTTTTACCTATACAAATAACTAATATTCAGCATACTTTTGTGATCTTATCTTCTTTCTCCTATGTTATCACAGGCGGCTAAAACTCACAATAGGAGGCTGAACGGTGTGGTATTCATTTTCGTTGACGCAGAATCTGAAAACTCTGCTCCGGATCGAATTGGAGGTAATGAATATTATCTTTTTCTGAAATCACCCAGAGCCCTACCTTAAAAGTTAAATTGTCGGCCCCCAAAGTCACGTTCCCTGTCCGCTCCGTGGAATGTACGTGACATTTCTCCCCACCCTTTCCTTTTAGCGTAAGTTTGGACCACATATGATGAGTCAAACATGTCCTCGATGGATATTCTGATAGTGAATGCATTTCACGAACGTGACATTTGTACCCGAAAATATTCAAAGCAATATTGATGGGGCTATGAACAGATAAATGCGATGTAACTCATCACTGCAGCTTAAACTACCCTCAGGTGACTTTCCTTTCATACCGGCTCTGAAGATCAAGACAACAAAGAACACGCTTACAAAATGGCTCGACTTTTGCTGTTCCTGTTTTTTGTTGCATTCATGGGTTTCACAGCTCAAGCAATGCTCTTTGGAAAGGTAGGAAAAAATCAACTAGATAGCTCAAATACTTTTAAAATGGAACAATGAAGGTTGACATAGATTAACCCGAATTTCTGGTGATTTCCAAACTGTTCTTTACGACCAAAAGAAAACAAAAAGTGCGCAGCCTTTATTGAATAATTGCAGGGGTCAAGTCTATGACATGTAGTGAATCTGCTGAATAAATTTAAACTAGTATGGTTCAGATACTCTCTCACTAATTTCTTAATTTCTTTCAGTTACATGGAGCCTTGCCAGACCCTGGGCAAAGGATTGATTCCAGAAACGCTATTCTGCGCAAACTTTTTGGAAAAGGTTAGCACTGAAAAGCTGTCAAAAAGCATTTTTGTATATTCATTGACAAATAACCAATTAAAACAGTGGTCAGCAAATTTTTTTATTTCTAAAATCATTATTTTAAAGGCGAAGATATGAACAAGTATGAAGCAGAAGCCTTTAACTGGGAAGACGAATATGCCCCGGATTTCATGCCTGAGGAAGGTAACTATAATGTGTTGGTGCGGTATGCGATGAAACTTGGTACATTGTTGTAACAATTCAAGAAGATGATGAAAACGTAGTAAAATTTTTTTACGGCACAATGCGGACAAATGTTGCTATTTAGGGGTCTTTAGCAATACCCATGCTCAAAAGTAAACACAAAGGCTGATTTTTCCCTAAAATGGCTGTGATAGAATTTGACGTTAGTCTTTTGTTTATGCACCTCGTACCAGAAAACTCGTGAATAGCTTCCCTTTAAACTTCAAAAAAACTATTCACTACTAGAATAATTTATTCATTGATTTTCACAATTTAACGAAATAACTTATGTTTCAATTATTCTTTTGCAGGTACCAAGAACAAGCTAAGAGACTCCCTCCAAGAGGTTAAAAGCGACAGACGACATTAAATTAGCTGCTTTACCAGCAATATAGGCATTAGCTGTTGTAGAATAAACTCGGATTTTTTTCATACTGTACTCAACTGTGAGTATTGAAATTTCTCGCCCCTTCTGCAGCCAGCCTCCTGTACGTTTACTTGCCAGTAAAGCACCGACTTTGTAATCAGTCTCTGAACAATAAAACAAATCGGGTAAGCTACAATAGCAAAAACTGTAAAATCAGTCGGTTACATGTAAGCTACAATAATAGTGATAATGACAATGATTAAACCCTTAGAAATGAAAACGACTGCCGAGTGTGTCTTATTTTATAATATTTTTTAATAATAATATATGAAATTCTCAAGTTTAACTGAATAAGCCTGAATAAGTACGATCACGTGGCCTTATATGCATGTTAAACGTCGAACACTTGATTAGCAACATTTTGTTTTTAATATCGGCCTCATTTCATGTTTCCAGTTTCTCAAATACAACAACTCTTTCCCACCCGTCTTTTAAATAAACAACTTAGGGCCTCTCATATGAGCCTAGTTGACCGGGCTGGCCCGGTTTCCGAGATCTAGTCTTACCACTAAATCCTTTGTAAAATTTTCGATGTGTTGATATGAGAGGGCGGGCTGGCTCGGTTCCCGAGATCTCGGTAGGCGGGCTGGAAATTTTGCCATATGAACACTTCACCCCGGTTAGCGGGATGAACGGCGGAATGAATTCTGTGAATTCTGGCGGTCCGGATAGTATCGTCTTGCATTGCCACATCGTAAGCATCACATTTAACCGCAGTGATACAGCTTTAAGAGTTACCAAAGCTATCGTGATAGGCCCGAAAGTTAAAATTTTTGTGTTCGGCCATGTTTGCTTTGTTTCCCGAATTGGCGCCAGAATTCGTCCCTAGGATCTTTGACCTTTTCTCATCTCGGAAACCGGGCTGAAATTTCTCATATGAACCCAAAGCGAAATTCATCCCGGTAACCGGGCTCATGTGAAGAGGACCCTTATTGGCAAATCCTGATTCGTTTTTTAGTGCATTAATTCAAAGTTTCACTTCTGTATTTTTTTGCAGTCCTTTGAAAAAAAAAATTAAAGGCCGTCGTGATAAAATTCGGTTTCAGAATTTATACTACTACATGAGAAATTTCTGCAATTTGATTGGCTTAGAGCAGTGGTATTTCAGCTTAATTTGAAATACCTTATTACATGGAATTTTCGCGACGATGTTTATTTCGCGACACAGTCAAATTTTGTGAGTTGAGCACCACAATTTAAATTTCATGGGCAATGTTATTTAACGTGTCCTTGAATTAAACGACTTTATCAAAGAAACAATAACATCAAAATCGCGAAACACAACAGCGGGACTTATCAAAGCTGTATTTGTTGGTTCGCGACACTTTAATTTTTTCGCGATTTTTTTTGTTTCGAAAAATTAACGTGTCACGAAAAGTTCATGTAATAAGGTACCTGCATGTGAAAATTTAAAACCTTCTACGGGTAGTAATATAAACAATTTTAAAATAGCATGATTTGTATGTGATATTTGGCATTTAAACACCACTCGTGATATTTCAAAATTGTCTCAAATTTCACTCGCCTAACGGCTCGTGAAATTACATGTATCACTCGTGGTATTTATGCCAAATATAACTAAAAATCATACTTTTACCTATACAAATAACTAATATTCAGCATACTTTTGTGATCTTATCTTCTTTCTGCTATGTTATCACAGGCGGCTAAAACTCACAATAGCAGGAAACGGTGTGGTATTCATTTTCGTTGACAAGTTCAAGTTCAAGTTCAAGTTCAAGTTTATTAAGAAAAATTGAGAAAATACAAAATATGATGTACCACTGCTCGCAGTTAGCTATAGCTATTCGAGGCGAGCAGTGGCTTGACACTAAGTAGAATAATTACAATAACAATACAATTAAAATACTAAGTAGAATTAATTATTATCGTACAATACATTAAAATAAGCTGAATACTAAATACAAAGTGAATAATTACAATTACAATACAATTACAATACTAAATAGAATTAATTATTATCGCACAATACATTAAAATAAGCTGAATACTAATATTGACGTAGAATCTGAAAACTCTGCTCCGGATCGAATTGGAGGTAATGAATATTTTTTTTTCTGAAATCACCCAGAGCCCTACCTTACATTCTACCTTACAAGTTAAGTCGTTGGCCCCCAAAGTCACGTTCCGTGTCCCTCCGTAGAATGTACGTGACATTTCTCCCCACCCTTTCCTGTTAGCGTAAGTTTGAACCACATATGATGAGTCAAACATGTCCTCGATGGATATTCCGATAGTGAATGCATTTCACGAACGAGACATTTGTACCCGAAAATATTCAAAGCAATATTGATGGGGCTATGAACAGATAAATGCGATGTAACTCATCACTGCAGCTTAAACTACCCTCAGGTGACTTTCCTTTCATACCGGCTCTGAAGATCAAGACAACAAAGAACACGCTTACAAAATGGCTCGACTTTTGCTGTTCCTGTTTTTTGTTGCATTCATGGGTTTCACAGCTCAAGCAATGCTCTTTGGAAAGGTAGGAAAAAATCAACTAGATAGCTCAAATACTTTTACAATGGAACAATGAAGGTTGACATAGATTAACCCGAATTTCTGGTGATTTCCAAACTGTTCTTTACGACCAAAAAAAAAAACAAAAAGTGCGCAGCCTTTATTAAATAATTGCGGGGGTCAAGTCTATGACATGTAGTGAATCTGCTGAATAAATTTAAACCAGTATGGTTCAGATACTCTCTCACTAATTTCTTAATTTCTTTTAGTTACATGGAGCCTTGCCAGACCCTGGGCAAAGGATTGATTCCAGAAACGCTATTCTGCGCAAACTTTTTGGAAAAGGTTAGCACTGAAAAGCTGTCAAAAAGCAGTTTTGTACATTGACGGATAACCAATTAAAACAGTGGTCAGCAAATTCTTTTATTTCTAAAATCATTATTTTAAAGGCGAAGATATGAACAAGTATGAAGCAGAAGCCTTTAACTGGGAAGACGAATATGCCCCGGATTTCATGCCTGAGGAAGGTAACTATAATGTGTTGGTGCGGTATGCGTTGAAACTTGGAACATTGTTGTAACAATTCAAGAAGATGATGAAATCGTAGTGAAATTTTTTTACGGCACAATGCTGACAAATGTTGCTGTTTAGGAGTCTTTAGCAATACCCATGCGCAAAAGTAGACACAAAGGCTGATTTTTCCCCAAAGTGGCTGTGATAGAATTTGACGTTATTCACTAGAAAACTCTTGAATAGCTTCCCTTTAAACTTCAAAAAAACTATTCACTGCTGAATAATTTATTCATTGATTTTCACAATTTAACGAAATAACTTATGTTTCAATTATTCTTTTGCATGCAGGTACCAAAAACAAGCTAAGAGACTCCCTCCAAGAGGTTAAAAGCGACAGGCGACATTAAATTAGCTGCTTTACCAGCAATATAGGCATTAGCTGTTGTAGAATAAACTCGGATTTTTTTCATACTGCACTCAACTGTGAGTATTGAAATTTCTCGCCCCTTCTGCAGCCAGCGCCCTTTGCGTTTATTTGCCAGTAAAGCATCGACTTTATAATCAGTCTTTGAACAATAAAACCAATGTGGTAAGCTACAATAGCAAAAACTGTAAAATCAGTCAGTTACATGTAAGCTACAATAATATTGATAATGGCAATGATTAAACGCTTAGAAATGAAAACGACTGTCGTGTATGTCTTATTTTATAATATTTTTAAATGATAATATACGAAATTCTCAAGTTTAACTGAATAAGCCTGAATAAGTACGTTCACGTGGCCTTATATGCATGCTAAACGTCGAACACTTGATTAGCAACATTTTTTTTAAATATCGGCCTCATTTCATGTTTCCAGTTTCTCAAATACAACAACTCTTTCCCACCTGTCTTTTAAATCAACAACTTAGGGCCTCTCATAAGCCCGGTTGACCGGGCTGGCCCGGTTTCCGAGATATCGCCTTACCTCTAAATCCTTTGTAAAATTTTCGATGTGTTCATATGAGAGGGCGGGCTTGGAAAAACCGAGATCTCGGTAAGCGGGCTGGAAATTTTGCCATATGAACACTTCATTCCGGTTACCGGGATGAGCGGCGGAATGAATTCTGGCGGTTCAGGCATCGTTTTGCATTGCCACATCATAAGCATCCCATTTAACTGCTGTGATACAGCTTTAAGACTTACTGAAGCTATCATGATAGGCGCGATAGTTAAAATTTTTGTGTTTCGCCATGTTTGCTTTGTTTCCCGAATTTGGCGCCAGAATTCGTCCCCAGGATCTTTGACCTTTTCTCATCTAGGAAACCGGGCCATCCCGCGGTCAACCGGGCTCATGTGAAGAGGACCCTTATTGGCAAACCCCGATTCATTTTTCAGTGCATTAATTCAAAGTTTCACTTCTGTATTTTTTTGCAGTCCTTTGAAAATAAAAAAATTAATGGCCGTCGTGATAGAATTTGGTTTCAGAATTTATAGTGTTTTCACTCACATGGCCAGCATCTATGCAAATTTATTGAAACAGAAGAAAGCGTTTGCCTAAGAAAAGAGTTCAACTCCCAGAGGATTGGTTTGGGACACCAACATGGCCGCCGTTTCATTGTTTTGGGACACCAATATGGCCGCCGTGACGTCATGAGAAAACACTCTATACTACTACATGAGAAATTTGTGCAATTTGATTGGCTTAGAGCAGTGGTATTCCAGCTTAATTTGAAATACTTTATTACATGAAATTTTCGCGACATGTTTATTTCGCGATTTTGACGTGCACATATTTCGCGACACTCAAGTTTCGCGATTTGAGCACAACAATTTAAATTTCATGGGCAATGTTATTTAATATGTCCTTGAATTAAACGACTTTGTCAAAGAAACAATAACATCAAAATCGCAAAACACAACGGCAGGACTTAATGTCAACTGTAGAACAAAGCAGTTTTCACAACGCTCACAAGCAGTTCATGCTTGTTCGTAAACTTTGAGTCAATTAACCACTCTTGAGGCGAGTCACTTTCATAATTTACTTAAATAATTGTGATACTTTAATTTTTTCCCAATTTTTTTTGGTATTGAGAAATTAACGTGTCGCGAAAAGTTCATGTAATAAGGTACCTAAATGTGAAAATTTAAAACCTTCTACGGGTAGTAGTATAAACAATTTTAAAATAAACACCACTCGTGATATTTCAAAATTGTCTCAAATTTCAAGTATCACTCGTGGTGTTTAAGCCAAATATCACTAAAACTCATGCTATTACCCATATAGGTAACTAATATTCAGCATATTTTTGTGATCTTATCTTCATTCTGCTATGTTATTACAGGCGGCTAAAACTCACAATAGGAGGAAACGGTGCGGTATTAATTTTCGTTGACGCAGAGTCTGAAAACTCTGCTCCCGGTCGAATTGGAGGTAATGAATATTTTTTTTCCTGAAATCACCCAGAGCCCTACCTTACAAGTTAAGTTATCGGCCCCTAAAGTCACGTTCCGTGTCCTTTCCGTGGAATATACGTGACATTTCTACCCACCCTCTTCTTTAAACGTCAGTTTGGACTTGCCTAGTTCCTAGGCCTCATTATTATGCGTGGCCGATGCGTTTCGGGTCTCGTGGTCCGAGAAAGTTTTTGAGGCCGTCTCCCGGCCGTTCGTCTTGGATACGTCACCGAAATGCATTGACCAAGAGGGCCTGGAAAGACGCCGTACAGGGACTAGGCAAAGTTTGGACCACATATGATAACATGCCCCCCATGAATATTCTGATAGTGAAGGCATTTCACGAACGTTATATTTGTAACTGAAAATATTGCACAAAATATTGATGGGGCTATGAATAAATAAATGTGATGTAACTCATCACAGCACCTTAAACTGCTCTCGGGTGACTTTTCTTTCATACCGGCTCTGAAGATCAAGACAACGAAAAACACGCTTACAAAATGGCTCGACTTTTGCTGTTCCTGTTTTTTTTGTTGCATTCATGGGTTTCACAGCTCAAGCAATCCTCTTTGGAAAGGTAGGAAAAAATCAACTAGATAGCTTAAATACTTTTAAAATGGAACAATGAAGGTTGACATAGATTAACAGAATTTCTGGTGATTTCCAGACTGTTCTTTACGACCAAAAGAAAACAAAGAATGCACAGCCTTCATAATTCAATAATTTCAGGGGTCAAGCCTATGACATTTAGTGAATCTGGTGAATAAATTTAAACCAGGATGGTTCAGATACTCTCTCACTAATTTCTTAATTTCTTGTAGTCACATGGAGCCTACATGATACTTTAAAAATTCGAGCTTAATAATGCTTATGTTATAGATTTTGCACTTTACAGCGTTCCTTGCCAGACCCTGGACAAAAGATTGATGCCAGAAACGCCATTCTCCGCAAACTTTTTACAAAAGGTTACTGGGTACTGAAAAGCTGTCAAAAAGCAGTTTAAATATCGACAGATAACCAGGTTTAACTGGTTACTGTTTTAAAAAACAGTGGTTAGCAATTGTTTTTATTTGTTAAATCATTATCTTTAAAGCCGAAGATATGAACAAGTATGAAACAGGAGCGTTAAACTGGGAAGACGAATATGCCCCGGATTTCATGCCTGAGGAAGGTAACTATAATGTGTTGGTGCGGTGCACTGCTGTAAAAATTCAAGAAGATGACTAAAACGTAGTAAAATGTTTTTTACAACACAATGCTGACAAATGTTGCTATTTAGGGTTTTTTAGCAATACCCACGCGCAAAAGCAGACAAAAAGGCTGATTTTTCCCTAAAATGCCTGTGCTAGAATTTGACTCTATTCTGTTGTTTACCTCGTACCAGAAAACTCTTGAATAGCTTTCCTTTAACGTTCAAACAGCTATTCGCTACTAGAATAATTTATTCATTTATTTTCATAATTAAAATATAAAAATAATTAATAAAATAACTCATCAACTTATGTTTCAATTATTCTTTTGCAGGTACCAAGAAGAAAAAGGCCTTCCGTCACTGATCAAATGTAACCGATACCCATGCCTCCAAGGATGGAACGGTTGCTGGTCATTTTTCATCCGCCTCCTTGAATAAGAGCATAGTTTTGGCTTCATAAACATGGAGACTAAAAATTAATCTTATTAATATTCAAACTTGGTGTTCTGTGTGAGAAATCCTTAAAGCTGATTGGCTCATTGGAAGGTGTTTTAAAATCACCTACAGAGAAAAAAGAAATTCCATCCCTTACTTCTTTCCCCTTGAATAAGAGCATAGTTTTGGCTTCATAAACATAGAGACTAAAAAATAATCTTATTAATATTCAAACTTGGTGTTCTGTGTGAGAAATCCTTAAAGCTGATTGGTTCATTGGAAGGTGTTTTAAAATCACCTACTGAGAAAAATGAAATTCCGTCCCTTGCTTCTCTCCCCTTCTGTGACTGCTTAATCGTAAAATCTGCTTGCAGAACAATCAGTTTGAATATTTAAGGGGTAGGAGAGACTTAATGATCGTGCTTTACCAGGAATATAGGCATTTGCTAGTTGTAGAATATACTCGTGTTTCTTTGAAGCAAAGGAATGTTTAATACGAAAAAGAAGTAATGAACAAAAGTGCCGTCTTTTGATATTAGTTCAGTCTCCAGACGTTTCGGGCCTGGGCGCGTTTCTCGAAAGTCCCGATAATTAACGGGCCCGTAAAGCTGTTGTTGTTTACATGCAAGATAGAGGTTTCAATAGTTTTGCATTTAACGTGATAAAACTATCAGTTAATGGAACAAAATGGAGCAGTTTGCTAGCCAGGACCCGCGCTCTTATTCTTTATATTTCGATTTGAATATTTCATTTCGGGCCCGAAAAGTTACCGGGACTTTCGAGAAACAGGCCCCNGTCGGGAAAGCCAAAGATAGCCTTGCGGACACAGTTGTAGCCAGGAGTTTCAAGGAACGGGTCCCAGAGTATCTTTGGTTTTAAAGTCAGTTCCAATGATATGAGCTATATTAAGATATGTAATTGTTTTATAACAGCTGTACATACATTAGTCAGCATTCCCTTAAGTACGGCGCTAAATAACAACACAAAACCATACTTGCGTTAAAACCCAAACTTCCGTTAACCATCAGGTGCCACCCGCAGGTGCAAAGGCAGAAGAAATTATGTTTAAAAAACGTGGCTATTAATTTTGGCCCCAATATTGGCGGGATAAGTAGGGTTCCGTAGAAAATGCTATTTTTTCTTGCCTTTCCCCCCCCTTATTTACACTGTATGTCGCGCACATTCTCACTAGGAATGACATCGAGGTAGCAAATAAATGTACGTGGATTACAACATGAAAACGTCCGACCAAGTTTCAAAGTGATATCTGTGAAAATGTCTTAACAAAAAAACCGGCCAATATGGTTTGCGATGGTCGCGTTGTTTACTCGAAAAGCATCGAAAAATCTTTGCGATATATACTTTCGCTCTAAAAGTGCAACTGTTTAAGAAGACTGCTTATCAAACTTTTTTTTATCTACGATTAAACACGTGTACCAACTCTTGTGACCCCTGTCCAAAAGCCTCAAAACTGGTTTTCAATCTTGCAAGCTGACCTTCCTTGAAATGCAGTTTACCTCGACGAAGGATTTCTTGCTCTACAGCATCAAATAGATGTCGCGTTTTATATCCCATTTCAGCAAATGGCCAGAGTACATTACACATTTCTGCAGCCTTGAGGGAGGAAACATTAAGCGTCAAAATCGCATCTTCTAAGTACTCAAACAACTCTCTGCTCCCTTCCTTGGCATGAGCAAAACCAGTCAGGAGCCTCTGTATATCGAGATATTTAAGGGCAGAGGGATCACGGCTTAAAACTTCTTTTTCAATTTTCCTATATATGTTCTCATTTGTGATTCCAAGTTTTCCAAAGCTCCACGCACACGTGCACAGATCCTTCTTGCTAACACTCTCCAAGTCCACGGACGAGAACTCCTCAACGATTTTGTCATAAAGTTCAGCATAGTCTTTTTCCGCAACTGCAAATGACCACAAAATTTGCGGAAGATACTTTCGAAAGGCGCTTAAATCACGAAGCATGAGTTCCTTTTTTATGAGGTCAAACACGTTTGCATTGTGCTTCCCTGACTTCGCAAAACACCAAAGAATGTTTGAAAGCAAAAAAGGCAAAAACCGACTCATGCCATGATTGACAAACTCTTGGTCCATATGACTAAAAACTTGGTCATGAAGCCTGTCCGATTTTTTGTGGGCAAATGTCCAAAGTATCAAAAAAATATCAGTGTTACTGAGGCTTTCGATTCCCATCTTGATCGCCTTCTGCTCTGTGTGAGAAAACAGTTCATCATCCTTAACACCTTTCTTGGCAAATAATGAAACCAGCTGGAAAAGTTCAAAAGGCTTAAATGTCTCCATGCCCCTGAAGTAAACGTCCTTGCAATAAAGTTCAAACAAGTTAAGGGAGCCATTTCCTGTTTGAGAAAAAGACCTCAAACTTCCAACCAGGCCCTGATTCTCAAAACTTGAGATCTTGATTTTGTTAGAAACAATTGCCCTTTCCAATTCAGCAAAAACCTTGCTTTTTCTCATAACGAGAGAAGCGAGTCCAGACAAAATCTTATTTATGTCCTTGGTACTGAAGAGAGTAATGTCCCTGAAAAGAATCTCTTGGTCGCAAATTTGTGCCAGGGAGTGGTTTTCAAACCCAACAGCAACTGGACCAATTTTGCCTAAAGACCATATAACACTTGCTAGATCACTGTTACTAGATTCGGAAATATGCTCCGAAATGTTATCGAGCAAGTCCAAAAACATACTCTCATTTCCTTGCGATTCTTTATCAATTTCTGCTTTTAGGGCAAACCTCTGTGCACCATCCCTCTGTACAATATATGCAATACAGCGTAGGACTGCAATTCTACTTGCTTGAGTCTTGATATCGCCTGCATCTTTGTAAGTATTGTAGGCTTGAAGCAGCTCCAAGGCCTTCTCCATTGAAAGGATCTCACTTAGTATTGTCTCTTGTCTGTTACCAGTGGCATTAGCTTCTGCCGCTTGTGCCGAGACAATACCATCTTGACTAGAGGTGTCGTAGGAAAAATGTCTCGGAACTCTTAAGGAAGGTATAGGCTGAAATACATAGGCCTTGCCAAGACAATACGGAATCAAGTGTTGTCTTCTGATGACGGAGGGCGATACGCTTCTCACAAGACGTGCCAAACTTCCTCTATACATGATCGAAAACCTATCACATCTAGAAAGACATAATATCAGGATGTTACTACACTCCCTCCCTTAGGGTGCTAAACGTCAAAATTCAAATAAAATGCTTAAAAGTTCTACCAGGTTCTTTTCAAAGGTAACACACCATTCCCATAATTAACAAACACCGTAAGCAGAAATGATTAAACTGATAAACTAAAAAGTAAACTATTTAAGCATAAGGAGCTGGGGGGGGAGGGATTCCTTACAAATCATGTCTTTCTGATAACCCTTAACTCAACCTTGATTATTCTGGTTATCACAAAAACCTCATCCAATAATTGTTAATTAGCGAGTGTAATCATGCTGGGGTTATCCCCGGCAGTTCAAAATGCATGTTGCTGAATCCCTATGTGGAGAGGGACAATGTTAAGCAAAGTTCTTTTTCTAAGAAAACAATGTGATGACATTATTAGGGATAAACCTGCACAGCTCCAGACTAAATTTGGATGTGTTACCATGAGAGCACTTATCATGTTTCCACAACAAAAGTATAGACCTGATGACCTGTAAATGTCAGGTGCGATATTAAACAATTCCTCTGGATGTGGTTTTTGTGATATCCTGAATAATTAAAGTGAAGGTAACTGTTACCCCAAAACTGACATTACCAAAACCTTGATTATTCCAGATATCACAAAAACCGAACTTATAATTGTTTTAGCATACATTGTTTTGAAGAAAGTAACACACAAAACACACCATCGCACACAACATAGTCTAGCATTGCTGTTGGAAATCCTGTATTGCGTCCACAACCTACAGATTTGTCAGTTATCTGGTAGCAGATAGAGGACACTAACTACAAATGTTTAACAGTAACAGCAGGTAAGATGTTAAAGAGCTCTTAAGATGATGTAAAAGGGAACTAAAAATAATACTAAAAATAATACATCTGTGTCTGCTCTACTATGGACCCATATTTACAGTTTCCAACCAGCCCTCTGGAATTGCAGCTGTGTATAGTTTATATTCCTTTTGTATGTTGAGCAAAGAAATAAGGAGAAAAGAAAGAGCAAGACTAGTATCAGGTTTGTGCCTTGTAAAGAATAAGTTGGCACCATAAGAATAGACCTTATTTCTAAATTGGTCAGCATGCAGTCCTATAACATATACAAATCTGCTTGCCCCACCGTCGGACATTTGCACCTTTCTGAAGAAAAAACGATAAACGCCCGATAAATACCTAGGAGTGAGGGAAAATGGGCACCGTTAAAATTAATTGACTGAACCATAAACAAATGGTGCTCCTCCTAATCAGTCAGTGCCATAGTCAATTTGTAGATTCTACATTATTTCAAGCTTTATTTGATAAGTCATAGAACTGTCTATCAGCCCTTTTGTCTTATACATAGACTGCTTGCAGTCCAACTTTTCTCTTAAAATCCGTCTAGTTCTCATCTCAGCTAGCGCAACTGCAAACCATGACATTATATAACAATAAGGGATTGGGACCAGATGAGAAAAGACGGACTGAGGACTCTTTTGTAGTAAACAAACCCTCCGCCAGCCCAGAAACGGAGTAACCAATTGGTCAATTTTACAGCTGTTGACAGATCATTGACTGGTCTGTGGTGGGGATGTAAGTGATAAAAATAGTCACGTGTCACAACTAACTACAAACAATTTCGAACGTGGCGGTAATCGCCTGTTAACTAAAACGTTTAAGGATATCTTATGGAAGGAAACTGCTGTAAATTTCTTCAAGGGAAAGGAATTCAAGGTAATCTTACTGGATTTTTAAAAAAGAAAACTTTTTAAGTTGTTTATGTTCTATTTATAAATCGTTTCAAGTTACTTGGGTTTAATTGGTTAATTACATTACCTTGACCGTTTCGTTGTCCCCAGACAGAACAAAAGAGTCAGCAGTCTCTTATTTTTTCTTCTCAGGCTTACGCCCTTGTTTATCGTGGCTTGCGGATTCGCTGCTCGAGTGCTTGGGTTTCACGTGCAGTAACTCTGCAAAGAAAAATAAGAGACTGCTCGCAGTCTAACTTATAAATAAAATAATGTATGTATCTCCCATGTTAGTTAATACAATTAATATTATAATTAATTTTTGTAACAATATCTCCACTGAGTGACTGTGTTCATGGGTATAAAGTGAAAGAGTAAATTTGACTCCCCCTTCCAAAATAAATTAATAAATAATAAATTAATAACTAAGCCTCAAGGGGCCAGAGCAGAAAACCATACCCTGTAAACTCTTGCATAATTATGGTAAAAAAATGGTCACATGACTGAAGTGTGTAGCAGCAAAGGTTTGAGTTAATAAAAACTAGCGATATATCATAGCCTGTAAAGTTAACCTTAATCAAAATCGTTTAACTAATGGCATTCTTTTCAACTCTGCCTTTGCAGTCCTAAACTTCAAATAAACATTGATGAGAAACCAAATGCTCACAGCAAACATGCATACTGTGGTTACTGTATGCTACTATGGCTTTACATGCAGTTTTTAGAGCCATTCTGGAACTATTGCCATGTCAATCTAACTGTAGTGAGAGCAGTGTTTTAATGACTCACTACTCTTGCCAAGGAAAGAAAAGTTCTTTTTTTTTACTTTTTGTGCTCAAAAGTAATAGTCAATTTAGACCATGTGATGCTCGAATTTCACAGCATAACTTTTTCAGTATCTCATTTATAGTTAGCTTTTTTATCCCTTTAATCAAGATAGATTAGTTAATGTTTAGATCTATAATTAAATCCTTAATGGACAGTTGATGAAAATTAAAGGATAATAGCTTTGCTGACAATATTGCATTAACTACCAGATATATAATTAATGCAAAAACCCAATTGTAGGGCATAAATAGGTGGGCAAATGCCCCTTCCTCAGGTAAAATCACTGTTGTCTGGTTAGTGTTCAGTAAAGGCAATAATACTTCAATAGAACACAGAGCTCTGAGATACCAAATCTTAATAATATTGTAGTTTAATTTTCCTTCTTTAAAGCAGCAGAAAACAAGAAATTCATAAATGACAAATTCCCCACCCTTGGGCAGACCTATGATGACAAATGCCCCACCGGTGAGACACAGCACTTTACAAAAGCTGGGGGGGATGGGACTGCATTATAATAGTGTAAAATTTGTGCAGGCATAATAAATGAATGGGGTGATACGGAAATCTTACCTAGTTTAGCGCTTTTGTCAGTTAAGTTTCGCTGTACTAAGAGTTGTATTTGGCCTTCATTTCAACGTGGCAGGGGTATTTTGCAGAGCACAGAACGCCAGAAGACTCTGAAGTATGGTGATAAGGGTTAGGAAACTGAGTGAATCAAGTTTCAGGTCAGTTTTCCAGTATAATGACCCTAAATGGAACCTGATTCACTCAGTTTCCTAACCCTAATCACTAAACTCAGAGTCATTCCTTGTTCTGCATTCGGCGTTCTGCAAAATCTGGTTCAGCAGGAAGACAAGTCTTGTTATTGTTCATGACTATGGTTTGACCAGCGTGTTTGGCTTTCGGTATCTTCAGAAGCTTCACGTTAAAAAGAAAGAGGAAAAGACTAATTCCAATGTCATAAAACAACTTACCTCTAGAATAAGTGAATCAGGTACAATGTATTTCCAAAGTCGTTTACGTGCATGTAACACGAACGTACTGGTCGTAGGGCTTACATCAAATAGTAACCATTGTAGCTCGATCCCAGTGTTTTTCTCTCTCATTACGGAGGAAGAGGGTGAGCCCTGGGACGAGGATGCACCACAAAAGTGAGTAAAATCTCATCAGGCTATTACTGGGAGGACTAATGAAAGTCAAATTACTACCCATGCAATTAGCCACGGTCATGTAAAAGGAAACTATGTGGGCACCTTCCATCAGTTCTATGTGAGAACACAGTATGAGGGGTAATTTCCGCGAAGGATTAATAATTTTCAAATTTTATGCCATTCTCCCATTTTATGCATTTTCGAATCCTATTATTCCCTTTCGAATTCTGTTATTCACTTTTCTGATTTTATTACGCCGTTATGCATTCTTTAACTCAGTTTTCAATTCTGCTATTCGCTTTTGAATTCTGTTAGTCAGTTTTCCAATTCTATAATTCGATTGTGAGTCCTCTCATGCAGTTTCGAATCCTACTATTTCCTTTCAAATTCTGTGATTCACTTTTCTAATTCTGTTAGCTGATGCCATTTTAAACTCTTTTATTCAGTCTCCAATTGTATCTATTATTCGCTTTCGAATATTACCATAAAATTCCGAAAATAAGCCCCCGGGCTTATGTTTATTCAAAGGTCCTCTTTGAGGGGCTTATTTTTGGAGGGGCTTATTTTTGGAGGGGCTTATATTCGGAGGAGCTTATCTATGGAGGGAAATTTGCGTTTCAAAATTGATTGGGCTATCCTTATAGTTGGAAGGAAATTTACCGTTTTTGCTTTGTTTTACTTTGCATTTAAGGGCAATTTCCAAGTAAAAGCCCCCGGGGGGCTTATATTTAGAGGGGCGATTTAACGGAGGGCTTTTTCCGTTACGAGTTTGGAGGGCTTATATTTGGAGGGGCCTATACATGGAGAGGCTTATTTTCGGAATTTTACGGTATGTTCTTCCAAATCCGGGACTTCGTTTATTTGGCCGTCGGTCCCCTAAGGACCAGTAACAAATTGACTGCAGACTTGGATGTCGACGCTTTACGGAATCGATTACGAATATGGGTAAATGCGATTCTACAGCAACTTCATTCACCAAGTTTTGACTCTGATAGTCACGATTCTGTATTCTACCGCGTCGAGAACCGTTTGGAATTATCATTAGGCCAATTGAGGCACAATGCAAGCTTTATTCGACTCCTTATAGATGGTTTTCACAGTGACGTCATCAAACTGTTAAGTCAAAACAGCGAGGTTTTACGAATTCTTATTTAGACTAGGTTGAAGATAAACAAAAAATAAATCTTTGTTCAAGTTTCCATTCCCGTAGCATGTTTCATTTCGAAAATACAGCAATACGAACTTCCGAGTTTTCACAGTGCGTGACACCAAAACAGGAATGCTGTCTCGTTGAAAAAAGTCTCTCCTCTTGATTTTCAGCAGTATAACCATTTCAAGTATTACAAGATATGTTTATGCGCACGTAGGCTGGTTCTCGAGTGAAAAGAAAGAGCTTTTATAGAAAAAGTGAACTCCAGATGTTTTGTTGATTTCCGGCGGCCATATTGGTGGACCAAAACGGTACACCAATATGGCGTCTCCATACAAAGCTCTACAAGGGTGCGTGAAACGTTTCGGCAAATAACTCAGAAACTGTGGGCCACAAAGACCTGAGACTTGGACAAATTGTTTATATATTAGTCTTTTGTAACATGTCATTTTCTCGGCTTCTTCCACTGGAGGGTTTCCAATTTATTTTTTTGTTGCGTGACAGTGAAAACGATCTATAGATACTATTCTAAAGACAAAAGCCAAATAAGAGCTCAAATTACAAATAAAACAGTTGTTATAGAGCGCTTCTTTGCAATATTTTGTTCTTCGGCTTTCTTTATTCTCCGAAACATAACCCTGAGCAATTACCAGTGTGCTAATAACAATGATGACGTTCCATGTGTTGTCTTTAAATCGGAGTACGTAAAGTCGACTTCATCCCGATAGGACGATCGAAGTAGTATCTTGCTCCAGTTTAAAGGAATTGGTTCCATACTTTTACCCCAGTTTTTCCTCTGAAAACATGCCTAGTATCGTATCTGTCAATGTTCTGCGTATCTCTTCTGCTTTGCTGAGGCTTTTGGCATTGATTTTGCATTTTTCCTATTTAGGGTGGGCCATACACCGTTTTCACAAATGGCGCACAAGTGGGAAAAAACTGGTGCCTAGTAATGAAAGCGAGGCGTTGGAGGATAAACAAAAATTGCAAATGAAGACTTTCAGTGAACTTGCGGAGTGTTTAGCACGGATTCCACGTCCCCCTTGATTGCAAACAGCAAATCAGTACTAAACATTAAAAGCTGAAGACATCCCACAAGTTGAAGACATCCCACGTCATTGTATTTAAAAAGACGTCCACACAAAGTTATTTTAGGTGGAATTCGTGCTAAACACTCTACAAGTTCACTGAAAGTCTTTATTTGCAATTTTTGTTTATCCTCCAACGCCTCGCTTTCATGACTTGGCACCAGTTTTTTCCCGCGTGTCCTCCATTTGTGGATACGGTGTATAGGGTAGGACATAGGGTGGGCGATGCCCTATCCCAGGTTTTGTTTACACGTTCTCGAGAAACGATCCCAGAACTCCTTGTGAAGATTAACTCGACAAGTTTCTTTCTCGTTTCTAAAGTGGAGAATGGTTTCAGAAGGACTCGAGATATTTTTTTATAATCTACGCGTTATACGTCCTTGTCACAGTTTCGTTCACAGTGCTAGTCGTATGAGTTTCAAACAAGTTTACTTTTTCTAATCAATGAAAAGAATCCTCCGATACTCCAGTCAATTCAATCCAAATGATAAAATACATCAAAGGCTCTACAATATCGTGATGTTTGCCTTAGCCCTTTTTGCTTCGCCCGCCTTTTTCTTGTCTTTGCCTACACTAGCACCAATATTCACTCCACTAATCATGTGTGTGGCTTCTCCGTAGAAACAAACAGCCGCAGAAAAGGTAAATATTATGCTTACCGAATTTATTCGAATAAGCGCGCAACCCCGAATTAGCGCCCACCTCGACCCCACACCCCTTCCCACCCCTCCCCCACGAAGAGGTTGGATAAGTAGTAATAGATGGAGTTTCTTCAGAGTATTTTACAGAAACCTTGCTTTGTTACATCTTCGCGTTTTGTTATTAGCATGTATAGTTTTGTTGCCAAATAAACATACTACACTTGTTGAAAATGGTGAAAATATAATAAACGCCCTGCCTCGAATAAGCGCCCACTCTCAAGGTCCAAACATTTTAATAAGCGCCCAGGGCGGTTAATTGAATACATGTGGTATCCCAACCATCACAAGGAGAGCTCTCCTCTCATTACTTCCTCCGTCTGTTTTTACAAGATCTGCGTTTTATGTTAGTTTAAATACCCTGACATTTTTCAAGCAGGCTCGTGCGTACGCCCTTGCAGGTATCTTCGCCTCTGCCAATCAAATTACTCATTCGGATTAAACTGCTGGCTTTAAAAACCACTCATCATACGGGCTCGGTAGCCACGTCAAGTGAGACATGTTACGTGCAACATTGCACTCGATTGCAATCGTCGTATGTCCGGGCATAAGTATAGTGTGCAGGAGCTTGGCTTAATTTACACTGTCATGCAAGCCGACTCTCAATATCCAACTACAAATTCTCCAGATTGATCTCCATACATTTCCGGCAAGAAATGGTTGAGAAAAATTTCAAAAAAGGTTAAAACATTTTTCTTTGGTGATCATCTTATTTTCATAACCTTTTCTAAAGTAGGTTGAGTGTGATCGTCCGGGTGAACATAGTCCTGAATAGGACTGTTCTTTTTGACAGTGACTGACGTTTCGACAACCTGTGCGGTAGTCATCTTCAGAATCAAAGTGTCAGTTGTATCACGTCAGTTGATGGTATTATACTCTGGTTATTGACCTGATTGGTCAATTACGTCGCGATGTTATTGGTCGTTTGTCAGTTAAGCCGTGATGTTATTGGCTATGAAGACTCGTAATCAGTAATTGGTGCGTTTCGATCCGTCTATTGTCAGAGTTAAACAGACGCCTATTGTTAGTCAAATTGTCAGTTGTTCTCTCGTAGTTAGTTTTAACCTTTTCTGTTGATTGGGTATTGATATTGTTTTTAAAAATTGGTGTTGGTCACTCTTGAAAGGTAAAGGGTTATATGCGCTGGCCCGGATGAGGCTCCTCACATCAAAACTGATAACAAACACTGACAGGTGTTCGTATTCGATATTTACTAAACTATACTTACAGTAAGACCTTACTAATTACACCTTATCCCATACTTTTTGCCGCATCTTAATTTCGTGTTTTTTTCGGCAATAGTCTTGAAATCAGGAAAATTTGAAGTCGTGAGGAAAAAGCAAGGGAAAATACAGTGACTTTGATGATAAAATATCAAGCCAAATCTAGAAACCACGATGTCGATCGAGAAAAGTTAAAGCATAATAACGAGTCACACGTAAAAAAAAGAATGTATTAAAAAAAAGACAGTAATAGAGCAACTTCAGTGATTATCAATAATGAAATACCTATTTAATATAATATAATGCAATGCAAGTAATTATTGTAAAAAAAAAGGGAGTAACGCGCGTTTCTGACGACCCATAAACTGACTACGAATATCCTCTCTTAAGATCATTCCTCGTATATGGGCTCCTAATGTGAATTGTGCGATAGACTAGAAGAACCTTTTCCGCAGCAATCACACAAGTTCGATGGCAAACTTCCTAAAGCAGTAAATATACATAGCCTACCAATATCTGAACGAAAAAAAAAACTACCAGACTACAAAAAGAGGAAATATAAATGATACAAACAAAGGATGCTAAAGCTTTCGCTGGAGCAGAAAAATACTACCTCTATATAGACTTTACAAGTCTCCAGAGTCCACTGCTTCGTCTTGCAAGTTATTCACATACAATAGAGAGATTTACAGTCACGTTTACGGGCATACGGCAAACGGCAAACGTCAGAATCAAGTTGAGAATTTCTCAAAATAAAATAAATTGCAGCTAAAAACAGTCAAAAATGATTGTTATAGACATAACTAAAATGAAGCTACTAATTTTGGGGTAGAAGTTATTAACAATAAAGCACAAGTTAAGGGAAAACTTGGTCACGTGTTACAAATTCACGTTTGCCGTTTGCCTTAACCCATTCGCTCCTGGAGATTTTGCCGAAAAACGCGTTTTGAAGCTATTCGAGTGGTTTTCTGGTCACTGTCGTGCTATAAAGGGCTAAAACTTACCACAAACCGGTTTACAGGTCGTACACTTGGCGGCCTTCTGATCCAGATGTAAAATATCAGCTTGCGAAGTTCGGGCATGCGCAGAAAGCAAAATTTCGCTTTTTCTCCTCCCTTCTTTTTTCGCTTCTCTTGCCTCATTTTTTTTTTCTCTTGCTGGGCATTTAGTAGGCTTCATTTTGGTGGGAAGAGTTTTTAGGAAAGCTTTTAGGATCTTAGGATTAGGTGAAAGGAAAGGTAAAGATTTTCATGGAGATTTTCAGGTCAATGTCACGTGGTTTTTTGCTTCTTTCTCCGGTGTCCTTGACTGAATTGTGCTCATTCTGGTATGGTTTGAAAGACCTCTTCACTCTACACAAGTTAGCGAAGAAAGTTGTCCTTGACCGTTAAAACTGATGACGTCACAAAGAGTAGAAAGGACCTGGATCCGCACGGCGGTTACGGGCGGTTCAGGGGCGAATGGGTTAAACTTGACTCTAAATCTCTCTATTATTAATTATTTGCACATATTTTGAGGAACTTCGATTTTGCAAATAAATTCAACAATATGACGTCATACTAACGTCAAAAACGTCATTGTATCAATCAAGTTATTCCTAGATGTTGAATACATGGTAAGTACCTTATTCTGTGTAATTTCGGTGGCCATTTCCTGAGCGGTTATGAAGTTATAGAGGGGGCCTCCGACGTCCCCCCCGGTCCCAGGAACCAAAAAAAAAAAACCGGTCTGAATAGGGCAAAACACTAGGGTTTAAGACATGATAACTGCTAAAGCCGAACAAGCCTGCGGAAACTAAATCAGTACTAACGCCTAAAGTTACTAAAAGTAAGAGTACACTAAATTCTAAGTCAAAATAAATATCTGTTATCACCCAAAATGTTTTAACCAATTAATGATAATTTAATTAATTAATTAAAACCCTTTGAATGCCAAGCACGTATATATACGTCCGAAAAAGCATGTTTCCATTAACGAGGACGTATATATACGTTCTCTCCTTACAACAGTTTAATTTCTTCCAGTTGCTTGGCGATTTCATCCTTGGTTGTTTGAAAGGGTCTGAGTAGGAATAATGTCAACCGCTGACCTGAATGTTTTTAAAGGAAGTTATCGAAAGTTACATCGCAAGTTGATGTTGTGTTGTGAAGTATCGAAAACAGCTGGCATGATAGTTGCGACTACGTTGCCAGATCACTTACATTTTTATATTTTTTGTATTTACTTGTTTAAGGCAAGAATTACAACAAAAGAGAATTTATAAAGCGTCAAAGTTCTTAAATTGTGAAAAATACATTTTCGTTAAAAAATCCAATATGGCTGAAGGTTGTTAGGGTTTGTTTCGCTTGGCTTCAAAGGGTTAATTATTTAATTAATCAATTAATTGATTAATCAACGACTGAGACTTAAAACTATTAACTATGAGCACCCAAACCTATCCGACATGTGACGATCCACACAGTAATTTTCAAGGAGTTACAATAACTCCTCTAGTGGGGTTAATTTAACTCAGATAATGAGGACTTAAAATAACCCCCAAAAAGAAGTTATCCTGTACCTAAAATTTTTACTCCACTTTTAAAGTAACTCCAAAAAGAGTAAGAACAGCCCATGTAAGGAGTAAAAATGACCCCAAATTTGGAGTTAAATTAGGAATAAAAGTAACCCCATAACAGAGGTTATCCTGTACCTAAACTTTTTACTCCATTTTTGGAGTCAT